ATTTTGATTTTGATCAAAATCAAACTGCTTTAAGTTTGACCAAGTTTGTAGAAAAAAGTAGTAACATTTTCAACCTAAGACAAATTTATTATGAAAATATATTCAATTATTGGTTTGGTGAAACTAATTTAGTATTATAAATATTACTATATTTGTCTACAAATTTAGTCAAACTTAAAACAGTTTGACTTTGATTAAAATCAAAATGTCTTATAAGCTGAAACGGATGGAGTATTTAATAATCTTAGTTGTATAGGCTGAGAGTGTTCTCAGTATGATCACCTTGATGAATTGGCTAAGTTTAATAAATCTTCTTTTATTTCTTTTTAAAAAAAGATATTTGTTGGAATGTCTAAGGTCCCCATCGGTTGGTCTAGTCTTATTATAAGCCAAAATGGCTTATTAGTGATTAAAAAAATGATATGTGAGTAAAACTTTTGTATATATGTTCTTAGTGATTGAAAAGTCAAAGTTGAAAAAAAAAACTATGTTGAAAAAGAATCAAAATAAAATTCAAAATCAAGTTTTAAAATTTAAAATTTGGCTTTGGCTTATAAGCCATAGGGCAAACGATGAGGCGCTAAACAATTCAGTACATATCGAAGCAAGAATTATATTTGATGTTTCCTGGAAAATTAATTTCTGGATATCGAAATTGTAAGCTCCAAGCTGGTTAATTAAAATTTGACACTTTCTTTTTGCAGCTGGATTATTTGATGAGGGCGTGCAGATGTGCAATCGTGCAAAGAAGCACGGAATAAAGCAAAAGTGATAAATATATTCGTGCGATGATATGAGCCTCGCACGTGTGGAAGCTAGCTGTGAGCAGTACACACGCTTCACTTTTCCCGTTGCTTTTGTGTGTTCTTCTCACACACTGTACTGTATACACACACACATCACACAAACACACCATGGTTTAACATTGACTAAACTCTGCCTACTTAACCATGGGTTAAATTACCAGAGGGAGAGAGGGTTGCATGATCCAAAGATTACTTTCCTAGAGACTTTTCCTTTTTTCCCCTCCTCTCTGCAAGCTGGGTCTAACAGCTTTGGATGGAAGGGATCATTGCAGTGTTGAATCTTCCTACCATGGCTAGCCATCATTCTCTCCTGTATTTCCTGTAAATGTCATCTTTTTTTTCCCCTCCCCTCTGATCTCTGCCATCTCTTCTTTAATTGGATGCCCTGGATCATTGCATCTTTGAAGGTTTGCCCTCCCCCCCTGGTGGTGAATGGTGATAATTAGAGTAATTAGCAAGAATGATTCTTTTACCACTAAGGTAGATAGCTCTTCATGACTAATGGAAAAGACAGACAGCAACACTCTTCTAGATTAATTATTAATCCCAACACTCAATGCTTTTCCCAATTTAAGGATATATCTTGTGGTAGTAGCATTCTTATCTTGAATTCTAGAAGGTTTTAGGCAAATATTTCACTGACAATTACAATTTTATGCATGTAAAATTCAGTACCTAACCATTTCACAGAACTGTACAACCTTTTACCCATCAGGGTTCAGGGGCTGTTCAGATTGATGTCATTTTTAACCATACCTTTTTTTGGCAAAGTTTAGTTTGCTGTCAATTTGATAAATACATAAGAAATCCTGCAAAAAATTTGACAATATTGACAACTTGCCAAAATTTTAGTATTGCCAAAATTTGATAAGGTTTATTTTGGCTACAATCTGAACAGCCCCTCAATTCCTAGCTGGTGGGACCGCCGTACCACCTCGTATCTCTCGGGAAAATAACAAAAAAGAATTGGGAAAATAACAAAAATAAATTTGAGCTAATCATCTAGGTAAACATTTTGGATCACACACAAAAAGAAGTTATTCCTAACAGACAGGTTGCCTCTAAATAGAATTCTCCAACTAGTAAGCCACAGATCATGATGTGCAACAAAAGCACTGCTCTTCTCTAACCAATACTACTACTCTGGATCCAAAGGTGTGGTCTCGGTTGGTATTTGGTAAATAAGTAGGTCATGTGGATTTGGTGTTGGTTGCCATCTCCTCCTTATTTTAATTGCTTTGCTTAATTAATTATAGCACTGTGTTGCACACAGCATCTAGTAGAAAGAAACAAGAAACATAATCCAAGATGAGATCCTCTGCAACCAACTGCAGCTACTATTTTCAGGTATTTGGGTTTCCACATGTGAGCAGCAGAATCATAAAAGGACAGAGACGATTCTCTAACTGCAGCTGCTGCAGAAATGTTTTTTGTTTTTTGGATTCTGAACAGAGACTAGCATTTCATTAATGAGAACAAATCACCTACCCATAGAGAATCTGATTTCTTTTTAGGAGTAATTAACATGTGATTACAAAAATGGATCTGGAAGTAATTAATTACTAGCTAGGTATAGTGAGATGGAACTGTTCACATAGACTGATCATTATGGCTTATGATCAAAGCTAAGCTACCAAAGAAGAGAGAAAGAGGAGCCAAATAAAGGTTGGTGGAGACATCAAGTGTTTTTGTTTACCCATCTTTTTACAGCCGTGGTTTGATTCCCATTGCCCATCATATTCGTTAAGACTCAGGCCGACACTGTCTCTAATTTTCTCCTCAACACATCATTTGATTTTGTCAAGGATCGTTGCTGAAAATGATGAATCATAATTGAATGAAAGATCCTTTTTTGTCATACTAAGTAACAGATTAATTCCTACCTAAAAAACTGAAGAAAACTTGCGTTGCAGTTAATTGCATGAGTGGCAATGATCTGAAGAATTTACTAACCTCACTGAATTTAGCTCGTGCTGGTAGCTAGCTGTCGGCAGGCAAAGATCAGCCGGTGTTGTGAAGTTGGTCCTGATTTTCAGTCGTGGTCATGGTCAGATCATCTAATGATAAAAGTTGATGGAGATCATCAGGTCCTGCACGGTGGATCCAACGGTCAGACCGCCGATGGATTGATCGACTGGTTGACTGACTGATTGATTGCAAGCTGCTGCACTGTTGTGGCTACAGCTAATCTTAGCTTAGCTGAGCTAGCTGCTGCAGTGAGCTGAACATGAACAGTGATCAGTAAAAACGATACGGAACATGGTGAACATGAACAGTGATCAGTAACAAATGAATAGTGAACAGTGAACTTCAGTGCATTGCTGCAGCTACCTCTAAAATAGATTCTGCCATGTTCTTTCCAGATAAGTTGCTGGATTATTGGGACTGATTATTGCTCCATGTTCCGAAAAATAGGTTTTATAAAAAAACATTTATTTTATTATATTTTTTTGGACCACTTTTTTAAAGCTATTATCGTTTCTTTTGAGAAAAACAGATATTTCGTTAATTATGATTCTCAGATTAACCATGAAGGATTATATATTCGATGAAGTTACAGTCAATTTTAAGCTACTACCTCCATCCCAAAATATAACAACTTTTAGCTATGAATCTGAACATACAATTGTCCAGATTCATAGACATGAATGCTTATATTTTGGGACGAAGGGAGTACTATCTATAAGTTCGCTTTTGAAAATACTCCCTCCGTTTTTTAATCGTTGACTTTTAAATACATGTTTACCATTCGTCTTATTAAAAAAATTATGAAAATATATAAGATATAAATCATGTTTAAAGTACTTTGAGTGATAAAACAACTTACAACAAAATAAATTATAATTAAGTAATTCTTTTTAAATAATACGAATGGTTAAATGTGTGAGAAAAAGTCAACGGCGTCATATATTAAAAAATGAAGATAGTATACAATTTATTCCTATAATTAAGTAGATAATCTGTGGTAATAATCTAAATCAAAATTTGGGGGGGGGGGCTAATCATGAATTGAAGATGAACAGTGGAAAACGGATGGTGGGGTTAAGGAGGGCTAGCTATAATTGGATCCACAGATCCACACTCCATAGCGAGGCACACTTTGTCAAGGATGAATCATGCATGGGCATGGCCGGTGGGGGTGGTGTGTCCATACAACAACAACAAGGAATCAATCCCCAGCCAGCCTACTTTGCCTTTGCAGTCAAGCCCGCCATCATTCTTGCTCACAATTGGGGCTCTTCGATTCACTTCATCCACACACTCAATTCAGATTTCATCCACACCTCCTCCTCCTCTTCTTCTAGCTTCCATCTCATATGCTTTCTGGAATTCTGGTGGCCCTAACTCCACTCCTCTCCTCCCTCTCGCAAAGTGACTTCAATCTCCAGGAAATATTGTTGATTTGTTGTTTTCGCCACAAGAATCACAACTTATGCTCTCTCTCTCTCTCTCTCTCTCTCTCTCTCTCTCTCTCTCTCTCTCTCTCTCTCTCTCTCTCTTTGAAATTCATGATTCATTTTTGGTCTTTTCTGTTACCTTCTGCTAATATATTTCTCTATTTTTTTTCTCCATGTTACCTTCTGCTAATATATTTCTCTTTTTTTTCTCCGTAATGTTTAATTCAATACTATAATTCCATCTAATTTGGGAAGCGAAAGTGATGTGGTGGTGGAGTTGTGGGTATATGATTTTATCCTCCAGGGTTCAAATCCTAGCGCCCACGAATATTACGCATATGCAAGTGGACTTTCAACAAGATTTTAGTGAGATTAATTAGTAATGTTCCGCTAGTTTCTCTCTCTTAGAGCGCATGTTAAGGGACACATTCGCAGGGCTATGAGTGTGGTGTTGCTTGTGTAATAGTGTGTGCGTGGGTGCGTCTGCAATGTAACTGAAAAAAAAAAGTAATTCCATCTAATTTTGTCCAGCAAAAAGAAAAAGAAGAGATGTATGGGCCGGCCCTTTTCCTCGCGTTTCCACGAAGCCCACAACATCGGGCCCACAAAGGCTTTGCGGTAGGCCGGCACGTGATTCCCACCCACGTGCTGGGCCGGCGCGTCATTCCCTCCCGCTTACGTGTGCTGGGCCAAAGTACGTGGGCCGGAAAGGGATTCCCAACCGCGTGATGGGCCGTAAATGGGTGATCCCGACCCAAAAAAAAAGAGCCCACGTCTTCCTCTCCACTCCCACGTTATCACCTCGCCGCTGTGCTCCCACACTCTATCTTCTCTTTCTCTTCTCCTCGCGACTCCGCCGCTGCTCGAGAGCGCAATGGCGTCCATGGCGTTCACACTGGTGGGAGCATTCAAGGGGATGTCCCTCTCCTCCCCGTGCCATTCCTCCTCCTCCGCCTCCTTCCTCCGCGCTGACCGTGTCTCGCTCTCCGTCGGCGGCGGGGTCGGGATGGGGGTGCCGATGACGATGCCGGTGCGGCGGCTGACGATCCAGATGGCGCACAAGAAGGGGGCCGGGAGCACCAAGAACGGGAGGGACTCCCCCGGGCAGCGCCTCGGTGTCAAGATTTACGGCGACCAGGTCGCCAAGCCCGGCGCCATCATCATCCGCCAGCGCGGCACCAGGGTCATCACCATCCTCTTCCTTTACTTACTGGTTCTTGGATGTTTCATGTGTTCGACTTTTCTCCTCAAATTTTGACTGATAGTATAGCTTCGTCCAGCTCTGAACAATTTGTGAATTTAGGTGAGGTTGTTGTGTTAACTAACATCTGCACAATTCAGAGTTCAGGAATGGTGTGAATATTCTTTAACAAAAAGGCATGACAATGATCGTGTTCCAAAGTTGGTCCTAGAGAAAGTCTGTTATTCTATGCAACGCCACCCGTTTGCTAAGACGTGGCCGCATGTGGTACATTCTTACCAATATCGTGGGATGTGGCCAAGAATTACACACTCTTCAGACTTCAGGGGAACTAGATGTTTCAGGCACTCTAATGCAATGCAGAGAGAAAAGGAGGAAGTACACTTTGATATTAGGACGTGCTGTTTCTGCACTAAAGACTCAACTGATAGTTACTTTCTTCACATCCATGAACTAACATAGCACAAGAATGTGCTACATAAATGTGTGTATCCTGTAAAAACAGTTGCATGTGCTGCTAAACTACTTCCTCTTATGTATTGTATCGTATTGCAAGGCATGCATGCATCCTTTCGATGTACTTTCCAAGTTCTGGCATTTGTCCCGCTGTTTCAGTAATGCATATGCAACTTCTTTGAAGTTTATCCCTGAACCACCACACACACCCTCTGCAATAGTCTATGTTTCTACATGTTATGAGCAGTTGCGTTTCATACAGTAATTTCACATTTTACGGACATATTCTTGCTTTTTCTTATACATTTTCATTGGTCATTTTAGGTCTATCCTGGAAATAATGTTGGAATGGGCAAGGATCACACCCTCTTTTCTTTGATCGATGGCCTCGTAAAGTTCGAGAAATATGGACCAGACAAGAAAAAGGTGAAAGTCTGCATCCTAGCTATAACTTGTCAGCATCTACTTATAATTGTATCTAAGTGGTTTTCTGTTGCCTTTTCTTTTACAGGTAAGTGTTTACCCATACGAGAAACAACCTGAGAACCCAAACAGTTACAGAGCAAGAAAGAGAGAGTACTTCCGCATGCAGCGTGAACGCAAAAAGGCAAGAGCAGAGGGAATTGTTGAGGTGCAATTGGTGTTGGCAGCTGCAGATGAAAGTCCTGAGGTCAATGCAGACTGCTGATAAGTTCTCTGCCCCGTTTTTCTCCATTTTCGCAATCCATGTTTGATAACAATGTTTGGAATGTAAATCATCAACTATGAGATGAATACAAGGCCCATCTTCAACTCCTTGTTTAGCCATGTTCGGCTTGCTGTATCTTTTCTGGCAGCTAGGCTTTAGGAACTAGGGCGGGTCTATTCCAACTGAATCATCAACAGTGAGATGAATACAAGGCCCATGTTCAACTCATTGGTTAGTCCTGTTCGACTTGTTGTATGCATGTACCTTTCCTGGCAGCTAGGCTTTAGGGACTAGGATGGGTCTATTCCAGTATTCCGGTACCACAAGTTCCACGTAATTGTGTTATGGGTGTTGTGGTGGGCTGATCTGATGCTTGAAAGTAGTGGTATTCATGTGGAATTGCAATTTGCAATGGATCAACATCATCACTGGGGGTATGATATATGGTTCAGGCCGTATTTGAAACTACTTTACAAGAGGTTCTTGCAAAAGTAGTTTCTTTTGGCATGTAGGGCTGTAGTGGGGTTTCAGCCTCTTAATTGATTTGGTTGCCGCAAGACTGCAATGAGACATCTGCATTTCCTTGATTCCTTCTTGAGGGACCTACTATCTCTACTCTCTACAACGTAAAGTATGTGAGTTGGTGATTGGGATGGTAAGTTCTACGCCTGCATCCTTCCTCCAATTTTCGCTCACAACTTTGACATACATCTCAAAGGAACATCTTTTACCAGGAAAAATAGGATGCATTTAGGTTCACTATTATGAAAATCAATTTCATCGCTGTCATGGGCAGTTGGGCACTGCTAGTATTGTAGAAACAGCACAATATGTTGAAGATCAATCGGATTGTCAGCACTTGAAGACGATAGATAACCACTTCATCAAAGAAAAAAAAATAGTACCGTGATATTCTGCGGTTATCACTCAAGAACAAAAGAAAAGATGGTGGTAATTAGTTCCACTCAAACGAGGGGAACAACCAACATATGCCATATCCTTAGATTATTAGAGAAAGTTTAGACTTTTTCTTTCTTTAAGGAAGCTTGTGGATTAGGTATTGATCGTCATCTGTTCATCAAATAATTATAAAGGAGTGTTACTGTGGTTTTTGGCCCCTCTTCTCTTTCATAGTCTAGTCTATCTGCTGTGTTGCTTTCGCTGGAACAAAGCAGAGAGGGGCATGAGCCTCAGGTGGGATTTTTGTCCAATAAAGGTGGCCTGCCATAGGGTAGGTGGGACATGTTCTTGGCCCCTCACTTCTAAGGTGTCAAGTCTTCATCAAGAAACACAATACAAAGAAAAAAAAGGAAAAAGAAATGGAATCAAGAAGCATAATCCTTGTTTCCTCTCTGTCCATACCTCATCCTATAACACGGGAGCTAGCAGCACTAGTGAGTGATAGTGCCAAGGCAAACATTATTGAGAGCCCACCTTGTTTTTCCACAAGCTTTGTGCAAGTGGAATAATGGAGAAGGGCACAAAGTATGCTAATTACTATAACTTTTTCTCTTTCAATGTTCCCATAGCAGAATCTTTTCTCCTTGCACGTGGAATCTTGGAAAAATCAGCATTAGCATTTATACTACTGTAAAAGCAAAATCATGTGCAGTGGTTTATTTTTGACATTGGAAAATTTATCATACCGACAATAGTTTATTGGTAATACTTGGGGCTGCTTGAGGCACTGCTTTCTACCTTCTGAAGGGGTTTATTTCTCCAATTATATGTCCCAATGATGATAGTGCAACTTGCAGGATAAAATACTGCACTGTTAACCTCCTTATGTAAAGTAAAGCAACATTATGGTTTCAGGACATACATTAGTTCTATAACTTTACAGGAATGATAGATTTATGGTTAAGCATGTGCATTTTTCACAATCTCTGAAATAGTTGTATCACAGATTCACTGAGTGCTGTTTCTGATCTATATTCCCTTGCAGCATTTCTAGGAACCTTCCCATTGTTGTTTTCATGATGCATCTGAATTTTTGCAGGAATTCACAGCCATCAGTTCCCCTTTGCTTTATTTATGTTAACCGCCTTAGTTTGGTAGAATATTACTAAGATCTCATGAAATATCTACTTTTTAAATATGGTTGTGAAAGAAACATGCTCTCATGAAATGGACCACCTTTTCATGCTGTAGAAGTCGCTGTGTATTAGCCTTTTTAGATGCAACTTTTAAAGAGTTTATTTCAGCCATATGTTAGAAGCTTGTAAAAGATTACAAGGATATTCTAACAAGAGAATCTCTTCTGATGGAATTCCTTTGCGTTGGAAAAAAGAGCTTCATTCATTCAAATAGAATGGGCAAAGCTAATACCCTGAAAAGTATTTCCATCCTTCACCCAAAAAATGAGCAGTAAGAATTGTGTTCCAGACCAGGAGAGGACCAATGGAACCATCCAACTTTCACCGATGCAGCCATGCTTATCTCGAATTCTTCCTTTGCATGCAGACTCCACAGACCACACTACATAATAGTAAAGGTTTTGTCCACCAACTGCTAATGAAACCCTTTTTATCAAGAATTGTCCTCCTTTTTCTGCTCAATTATTTGCCTAAAGCATATTCCGCCGTTGTGGTAGCCATAATTCATAACCCTTCTTGTCTTGCAATGCATGTCACATTGTCATGACAGGTAGATTGCTGGAACAACCAAACACCTTTGTATTGCCTTGTTCAAGATGGACAGATTTTAACGTTGCACTCGATTGCCAGGCACTTCAGTAGCCTTGCTAAAGAGAGATACTGGGTCCTTGTGAGGGGATAATGGACACTACTGCACTAGTGTTTGTTGGATTGGACTGGTTCCAGTTTAACCTCTTGTTTCCTTAGTCCTTAAGTTTCAAGGATATAGGCTTGTTCAATGCACAGCGAAGTAGCGGACGGTGAGGATATATCCTGCAGATGCAATTGGATAGATTTGATGTAGCATTGGTTATTCGCTTAGGCCAGATTTTGGTGTGATATGAGGTTATTTTCTTGTGTTGAATGTTGGAGCAGTTTGCTGGTGCATATATTCATAGTCCAAAGAATTTCTTTGTTCAAAATTCGGAGAATATATGGTCCTCACCTCTCCATTGTCTTTTTGAGATGATATAGCAGCCTGAGATATCTAGTCCAACTTTATTTTGTATACTGCACTAGTTTATTAGAGGAGAAAATTGGAACATTGCAACTGAAAGCCTACAATTCTGATGCTCCTAATGCTGACATTCTATGAGAAAAACTTTAGTGTGGTATTATGTTTTAATCTTGCATCTCAACTATCTGATCTTAGGTTCTCTGTTACTACTTAATTCAAAGGCACCACCCTTTTATTGGACCCTTTACAACTTTGTTCCAGCTGCTGCTTATCTTATGTTGTAATTTCCCAAGGTAATCACCAACCTGCTGGATTGAAGTTCCAGATTGAGAATTGAGATAGCATCAAAATAAGGAGAGAGTAATCATTTTGTACTGTTGAACTGAGCAGATCATGGCTACTTCAGCTTCTGACACAGGGTCAAAAGACCTAATCAACAAAATCCAAACCAACTTCAGGTGCACTTTCACCAACTGTGCCACTAGAACTAATGCACATCACATGATCTGCAACTGTCAACAGTCTTACCGGAATTGGATTCTGAAGGTGGATACTCCACCTGTCCACCATAAGTCCTTATTTGTCAGAGGTTACAATTGCATGATGTGTCTATACTCTATACTGCAAAGATGAATACTAACAAGTTTTTCTTGGGCTTAAAAGAAGAAAAACTAGGAACAGCCTCACTAGTTTGCTAGGTCATTTCCAGGGTTTACGTTTTCGATAGAAACCGATCGAGAACTGCGAAATTTCGAGGTTTTGACGCTGGTCAAAAGTAGATCTGGGTGAAATTTTGAATGGCTTTCGAGAATTCAAATTTGAAAAGTAAAATTTGGCTGAAATCTGATCGAAATTTTGCCCAAAAATGTCATGACATTCAGGGTCGGAATCCTAACACTCAATCGGATAGGTGAACACTGGTCATTTCCCAGTGATATATGCTTTGGCATGGTTTGTAGGTGTGAATCTCTCTTAATTTCTCCAGACCAGCTACAAGCCTTCAACCACATGACTAGAGGTGTTTTTTTTTTTTTGAAACCTTCAACTTTCTAGCGAAAAACCATTACGGAAAAGAAAAATCCCGCGGATGCGATAAATAAGTTGTGACTACCGACCAAACACAGGATACTGTGTGTCTGTGCCACACTCCAATGGAATCGATGGTCTTTTGGGGGGCAATTCAAATTCCAAAATGAATTGCAACCATCAAGTCAAGGATCATGATCGTGATCAAGAGCAGAGGTGCCATGCCAAAGCAGGAGAGAGTGAAAGAAGATGTGGAGAAAAGAAAGTGTGTGAAAAAAGATGGCAGCCACCATGTCTTTTCTGACAAAGAGGGTGCCCCCACCCACACAACACAAACACAAACACAAAACACAAGAGTTTATTATAAAATCCCAAAATGCAAAAGGCAGCAGCATGTGTGTTGCCAATGCTTTGCATCTCTGCCACCAATGGGAGATCTGTGTCTGCCTACTGTTCACCCTTAGCCACATATAAAAACCCTCTCACCATTCCTCTTCATATCTCAGTCTCATTGTGCCTTCTTTCTTCTTCTTCTTCTTGAGCTGAGCCTCCTCCTAAGGCCTCTCTTGTATATACACATTTTGTATAGATTTTTAGAGTTATATCACAGTCTCATCAGCTCTTGCAACTTCCCATTGCAAGAGTTTGATTGATTGATTGGTTGATCAGCTGGTGTTCCAAATGGATCCAATCAGCATAGAGAAGATCAGGGCCATGAGCAAGTGCAGCAACTGCAAGAGGCAGCATCCGATGATCCTCCCTGCCCTGGCAATCTCCATGGTTGCCACCTTTGTTCTTCTCCTGCTGGTGACCAGCCCTGTCTGGGTCCCAAGGCTGTGCTCACTCATGGCCTTCTTCTTCCTCACCACCCTCCCTGACCTTGCCATGGCCTTCCTCCTCAGCCCCAAGTGCCTCTTCGTCGTCGGCAACCTCATCGTCGCCTTCCTCGTCGGCGAGTCTAGGCTCGCCCCGAGGGGGGAGCCGGCGTCGTCGTCGGTGAATGAGATACATGACGAACATGTTAAGAGGAACGCCGCGATAAGCGCAAAGGCGGTGACCGCGGTTGTGGCCATTGATCAGAATGCTCATGTTGGAGAATTGGGGGAAGAAGAGGAAGAAGAAGAGGAGGAAGAGGAAGAAGAAGAGGGGGAGGAAGAAGAGCTGCACCAGAGAGTAGAGGACTTCATTGCAAGGGTCAAGAAGCAGAGGAGAATGGAGGACAAGAGCATGTTTGACACTGATCGATGACCTGATGAGTTTTACCTTGGATTTGGAAGATTCAAAGAAGGGATTATTGCATCCAAATTAAGGATTCTTGTGATGCTTTAGTTTTTCATCTATCATCTTAGGGCCAGAGTTAAGAAGAAGAAGAGTTCACTTCACTGGCTCACTGCACTGTAGGAGATTATGCATGCACCCTTTTGATTAGAGTGTGTCTGATGATCTGATCCGGTTTAGCCATGCACAAGAATTAGGCAGAGAAAAAAAGAGAGACAAGGAATGTGTGTGTGATCTTTTGAAAAAGCAGAAAAAGAAAAGTGATGCATGTGTCTTTCTCTTATCGATCTTTGCTTTGAGCCTAATTGCATATGTAATGTCGCAATTATTACATCACTTATCCTGAGGAACAATGAGGCCAAGTACACTCAACCTGATCACCTCTCAGTTGTCGGGATAACAAAGTTGCTCAACACAAACAGTGCAAGGCAAAAGCTTAGCATTTTTGTGATTTTTCTGAAACGTTTTCTTAAGCAGCTGGCACATAAATATGTGCCCGGTCAACTCAGTTTTCTTTTCCTTTTTGGAAGGCAGCTAGCAAAATTTGATAGTAATTCGATTTCCAAATTCCTGCAACTTATATTAATTGCAAATAGTTTTTTTAAAAAAAACATCAGATTTTGGATCGTTCCTAATGCAAAATATTGAGATCTGCAATTTGTTTCAAGGAACCTTAGATTTAATAAAACCTCTCGTATCTATGCAGTATGCTTCCGTTTCAGGCTATAATATATTTTGACTTTGGTCAAAATAAAACTATTTTAAGTTTGACTAAGTTTATAGAATAAAATAGTAATATTTTTGACTCAAGATAAATTTATTATAAAATATATTTAATTATTAATTTAATAAAACTAATTTGGTAATGTAAATATCACTATATTTGTCTATAAAATTAGTCAAACTAAAAACAGTTTGACTTTGTCTAAAGTGAAAACATCTTATAATCTGAAACGGATGGTGTATCATATATAAAAATACACGCAAAATACGCATATGTCAGAACACGAGAGCACGTACAAGTACACGTATAAAAAAGAGAAAAAAACATACAGCTACAAAAACAAAGAGGACACATGAAGATGGCCCATATGCTTTTGATCCAGATAAAAGTTTAAAAAGATCCATGACACAGTGACACGCAATGCTGAATGTTCAGGCACAATAATATATGTCCTCTGCCTGCATCTGTGCATAATTGCATATGCAATGTCTCACCCTGTTTAAGCAAAAAAAGGGATTTGATAACATTAACCGTTTGGATTATCACGGGGTGATCGGAGCCACATGTTTCTGGCCGTCCCTTTTTTGGATGCTGATTCAGATCAGCGTCAGTGGCGATGAGATCACGTATTATTATTTTTTTTTCTCCTTTTCCTTTTATCTTAAACACGCAGCTGCACGATATGACATAGAAAAGGGACCAATCCATGCTACCAAAATAAATACCACCTCCATATTTTAATGTATGACGCCGTTAACTTTTTATCCAACGTTTGACTATTCGTCTTATTCAAAAAAATTTATATAATTATCATTTATTTTATTGTAATTTGATTCATAATCAAATGTTCTTTAAGCATGACATAAATATTTTTATATTTGCACAAAAATTTTGAATAAAACGAATAGTCAAATGTTAGTTGAAAAGTCAACAGCGTCATACATTAGAGGGAGTACTATATTAGAGAGGGGCAAAAGGCAAATTATGCTGGAAAAAAAGGTTGATGCATGAATATGCATGCAACCTATGCATCGTGTCCACGATCACGATGAGATGATGATCAGGTTTAGTGGCGCAGAATAATTACAAGTGGACTTCTTTGGAACGTGGAAAGCAGATGATCCTAGTAAAAAAAAAGCATTAATAAATATCTTCCTGACGCCTTGACACTGCAGCGCAGCAAATGAGATTAAGACGCGCATATTAATAATTACATGAAGTTCCTAATCAGGTTAATGCTGATAATGCGTTGAGTGTTATTTTGTGCGGATGGAATGATGATTAGACGAATGATTTATGATAATTATTTAAGATACAGACGGATTAATTAACTATTATTATAAAGTTAAACAATGGATTTTAAAACAGTATTATAAGAAATTCATATATTGGAAGTTTTTGTAAAAATCACACCATCTAAGAGTTCAGAAACATGACGGCCTTCCACTCCCCTAAAACGAACAGGTACTGTAATACAAAATGCATATAGTTGTAAACATGGCATTATCTCGCACAAAATTAACACAGTAAAATTTCCGATAAGAGATATCCACTGCAAAACCCTTTCATCACTTTCTGTTGCACAAGCGCCAAAAGGTACATGAATCGATTGTTTGCATTCCACTCGTTCAACAAAATTGGACTTGATAACATGGACAAAACGAAAAGCTTACATCACAACTAGAAATCTATCCTCATGTGCGTAGCAATGTATAGCCAGAAACCGCTTGAGCCAGCAATGTTGACTGCTATTATGTTTCCAGCATCACTTGTATCGGTCCTCGGAAAGCTTGTCGAATTTCCTACGGATCTATTTCCCGAATTTATTAGCTACAGCCGGTTCCGTTAGTGTGTTCCAGACCTGTCAAAGATGCAGAAAATAATGTCAATGAAGGCAATCAAACATGGCAACGAATCTTCAATAGCCTCTAGGCATGGCCATGATTGCTTACTTTTAATTTGCCTTTTGATCCTCCGCTGGCCAACAAGAAGGGACTGTCATTCGAAAATGATACCGAGAAAATAGCTCCCTGGAACAACATTGAAGCATATAAGAAACATAGAATTATAACTTGAAAGTGATTCCTTCCAAAGATAAAAGACTGGTTTCATTTCAGTTCATACGAGTTTTGGATTCAGAGAGGCGATGCACGATGGTTGGTTGTTTGATAAATCCCATAGCTTCACCTGTGTTTAAAAAAAAGGTGTTATTAATCAGCAGAATTGGTATCTAAGGTTTATCAAACTCAGGTAAGTTCGCACCATTTTGTCAGTCGAGCCTGTCGCAAGAAACTGCAAGAGAAAAAGCTAGTCTCAGTAACTCTCTATTAATCTATCTTTTGGTACATGCAGAATGCATACGTAGATTCTCAAAGAACATATCATACATTTGGGGTAGATGGACTGAAGGAGATGGAAGATACAGCCTTCTCGTGTGCGTGCAGAGTAAACGTGGGACGACCAGAATTTGAATTTGATGAGGCTGTCCGCTTATCAAATGCTTGAACCATCCCATTTTCAAGACTAACCTGCAAGAGTTAACAGATTAATGACTACCTTAACAAGGACCACACAGAACAGCCAAAAAAAAGTGGATCAAAGCAGAGTGTCATAGCATCAGGGAGAAAAGGGTCACCAAATAGGAAATCAAAACTGTGGGCACAAACAGCAATTTCAACTTAGCCTTCAAAGACTAGGCTATTTCCATAAGGGACCAAACATAGTGAATTTTGCATCCTATGGCTGCCCCTGCCACCCTCCACTGCTAAAATATCTACCTTTCTACTCAAATATGTTGTCATATCCGGGATACACTAACTCCGTTCATCTAAATTACGACAACTGTTCTCCAGAGGAAACTTGACGAAAAGGTTAGCAGAAGGCACCATTGTTTGTCAGCAATTTCTTACATGTTGATATATGACATGTATGAGTCTTAGGTTTTTAGCATGTTTTAAAAGAAAAGGAATGAAAGTTCAATTTACTCACCATGAAGGAGTGCTCATTATGCGGATCCCAAGCTAAGCTTTCTACATCTGCTTCAACAGACCATTTATTACAACTCTGTCCACCATCTTTCATGTCATTCTGTAATACAGCAGTAGCCATTGTGAGTTTTCAGTTAATGTAAGTATACATAAGTTATCACAATAATGTGACAGCCTTCAACAGGATAATCGAAATGAAACTATAACTTGGTCCTTTATATACCATGAGAGAAAGAAAATAAGGGCTTACAAGAAAATTCCTCTGAACCAAAAAAATATATATTGTACAATTAGCATGGCACAAGCATATTCAGTTCTCGATTTATCAGTTATCATCTAAATGCCTCTATCCAAGTACAGAACAAAACAAGATTATTAATTACACATCCTTTTAATTATCACACTGCTTATAGTCTGGTCAGAAACAATATGATACATATAATGTAAGATAATTTTCTAAATAGCATCTAAAATTAAGAAGTACAACAGCAGCAGAACAAATTTCAGGAAACAAATCAACAATAGAACTCATTATGATTAGTAGATCCATTACCATGGCAACTGATTTATCGAACGATCCGCTTAGAAGAACTTCAGGCGATTGTCGGCTCCAAGCAACAGATTGAACCTACATGCCAATGTAAGGAAAAATCAAATGTCTCAGAAACAAAAATGCAGTAAGTAAACAAAAGTAGTAAACCATTACCTTGTCATCATGATGTTCCAATGTGACTGCACATTTGCCAACAGATACATCCCAAATCTTAACAGTTTTGTCTGCACTTGCACTAGCTAGAACATTCCTGTGGCTCATAAGAACAGCAAGTCGTTCATGATGGGGCCATTAAGAGAAGATGTATTATCACTTGAGTAGAGAACTAAACGCACCTCACCTCCTTGTTCCATGCAAGACCAAGCACAGAACTTCTATGACTTCCCTTCTTGTACTTTTTTGCCTGTGCATGAGAGGGCATGTAGCATGAACATTAGTGCAGCTAATGAGGGACGAGAAGTAAACAAACACCTGAAGATGGGCATATGTGAATCATACATATGTATAAAGTAAATAAAGGCAGTGCCAATGAGCCTATGCAGAAGTCTGCTTAATCTACCCTTCAGGTACTACCAGTACCAGTTAATCGGATAAATGTGATATCAGTTCATGTGAATTCAGTTTAAATAAAGATTAGGGTGGATCTGAATCTCAAACAGTTCTTTCACAACATCCGGTGGCAAAAAAAAAATGCTGGCTCAATTTCAGGTCAGCATTTTTTCATTAAATTCAAACATAGAGCATAGCTGCTAAGGGAACTGATGGCAGGTTTCCCACATGGTGATCTAGACTAAGGCTGAATGCAAATAAACAGGAAAGGAACAATGGTAATCATTACAATGCTAAAATGTGTTATCAGCGCATCTAAAACAGAATGTTCAACATTGAATTGACAGAATGCCAGGAGAGTCGACAAACGCTCAACAGGAAGAGTAAGACAAGATGAGCTGAGCATGACCAATCAGTAACATATCCCATGCAAAGCAACGATATCTTCAAACTAGCTCAACATTGAAAAATAAGGACTCAGGAGAGAACCTTTTTGCCCTTTACTTTTTTCTTCTTTTTTGAATGTCCTCCTAGCACCATGTGAGGTTGAACTTCATCGACCTGTTACATAACACCAAATTCCAGAATCATTAATTGCTTTGCAGTCAAGCAGTTGATGGCTGTATAGAAAGACGGTGTTGTATGTTTCTAGAAACATTACTATATCCAGGTCCCAAATTTCAATTGCAGGATCCATGGTGCCAACAGCTACGAAATTCCCTGAGGTAAAAACAATGAAGAAAGGATCACAAAATAGGATGTATGAGCAAGTAAAACATTGAACTCGGAATAGATTGGCACTTAGTTGCTTATCTAGTAAAACACAAACAGCACCAAAATTTTTACCTTTGTCGCCACCCTTAAGGTTAAAATCCATCCATGCTGTGCACAACGGAAAATCAGCTAGAGGCACCTCATGGTGCACAAACATATTTAGATCGCCGTCTTCTGTTTCTTCAAGTAAATTTACCTGCATAGATAGAAATTCACAGATTGAGTTCATATTATATGAACTAATAGCATTCAGCACAATGAAACATCAGTGACCACAGATCAATTTTAAAATATGCCAACAAGTATTAGAGTAACTCCGCATAAATATTCCTCTTTAGATTGATCTTATAAAATAACTCGTCAAAATCAGACAAAGCTGAACTACAGCAATCATATTTAGCAAAAAATAAATAAATACGAAGGCGCTAATGGAATCTTGCCTGCAGCGAATTGACATCATCCTCATTATATGCACAAACTACCATCAAATCAGTAGGTTTGATAGTCATGTCTTCAATCTCTTCATCATCGTCATCCTCCTAATATGCGTCACATGAGGGGACGGATTCAGTGAACTCCAATCCGGTGGTAGTACATTTTAAAGGAAAAGGAAATGAACACAAAGTCCCCTTCACAGTAAGAGATAACTCACATCATTGTTCTTGAGATAGGGGTCCAGGTCATTGCTAGCATAGTACAAGTCCCCTTGGCCGGAGCTGAAAATCTCGAGACCTGATGTGAATACATATCAAGTTGCCATTTACGATTAGCTCCTGCAGCTTAATCATCATCAATGGCTACTACTGACCAAATCGAAACTGACAGCAAAAGTGCAAAGAGGATTCGGATTCGTAGCTACCTTCCTCCTCCTCGTCGTAGTTGTCCATGTTGAGCTCCTTGAGCTCGTCGGCGACGTCATCGACAGCGCCCTTAGCGAGCGCCTTGGCCGCGGCCTTTGCCTGCGCGACCTCGTCTACCTCCTCCTCCTCCTCATCGGCGGCGGCATCGACCTCCATGTTGCCATTCTCCTCGCCGTCGTCGGCGTCCTCGTCGGCGTCGCTCCCACCTCTGCACGTTGGAGATCGTGACCGTGAGCCAGCGCAGCAGCGGCGGACGAGGAAGGGAGGGGAGGGGATGCGTACTCCGTGTGCTGGGCGATGGCCTTGATGGCCTCGTCGATCTCCTCCTGCGTGGGCGGCTCCGCCTCGACGGGGACGAGCTTGGCGGCGCCCCTGGGCACCCACGATATCGCGGAGATCATCCTCGGAGCTTCGGTGGTTGGAGCAAGGCGGCGGCGAGTACTCCGGCGAGAGGGGAGATGGTTGGGCGGTGGCGCGAGGGGGAGGAGGTTGTGAAGAGGAGAAGAGGGGAGGGGCTAGGGTTTAGTTGGTTCGCGGCGAATGCAATTGAATTGGGCTTGTAGTGGGCTGGGCCGAGCCGTGCGGATTAACTGGGCCGCGCCACCGCGAGATTGTTGCGTGCGGCGGTAGGCGAGGTGAAGAGAATTTTCTCGCAGCTGCAACTTTTCTATAATCAGAAGTTTCTCAAACGGTCTAATTTTTCATCTAAATTCTGAAAAAAATATAATTAGAGAATCCAGAAAATGAAGCTGTAAATTAAGTTTCTTAATAGTCTGTTTACTAGCTTTTGATCCAGAAAATATATTTGTAATTTCTCTCAAAATTAGAATGAGAAGTCCGTTTAAACAGTTCAACTTTTTATTCAGACAGTGAAAAGTTGCATTAGTTATAGAATTTAGAAAATATAATACTACACCCGTCTCAAAATAAGTGCAATCGTGGATATCCGTGTCCAACGTTTGACCGTACGTCTTATTTGAAAAAAAAAAGGTAAAAAAAATAGTCGCACGTAAAATATTATTCATGTTTTATCATCTAATAACAATAAAAGTACTAATCATAAAAGGCTTTCAAATAAAACGAACAATCAAACATCGGATATATTAAGGTGTAAATCTAATATTTATTTTGAGACGAAGAGAGTTTTAGCAGTGAGAAATGATTGGGTTGGTTTGGTTTGTGGCCTAAATTGGCCTTACCAATTTTTATCAATATCAAATTTTGGTAACTTTTGGCATGGCTAATTTTGGCAAAGGTAAAATTGTGTTTAGATTGAAGCCAAAATAGCCTAAATTAACGGTTGAAATGGCATATTTTCTTAGGCATGCTAGAATTTGGCTCCAAACCAAATAGACAATAAATACTATTGAAATTGCCAAATATTGGTAAGGCCAATATAGGCCTCAACCCAAACCAACCCGATTTTTCCATAAGCTTCTCGAACTCAGACCGAAGAGGAAACGAGATACGGCCGACGCAGTGGCTAACGGCGTCGACCAAAAAGCAAAGGAAGAAGGGCGGTGGGGGCCACCCCGATCGGATCGGGGGGAAGCGGTTCGTGTCCACCTCCGGCGAGGGAGGCCAATCGGCGAGCGGCGGGGGGACCCGCCACCGCTCGCCGGCCCGGACAGTCTCGTGTCGCCACAGTACGGTGCAACACAAGCCACCAAAAAGTCCCTGCACGTAGTAGCCACGTACGCCGTGCTTGCGTTGCGACAAAAAACAATCTACGCTTAACTACGACTAATCGTGTTTAGTTCGGAAAAAGAAATTTTTTTTTTGCTGTTTGATCGGATGTCGGAAGGGATTTTCGGACATGAATGGAAAAACTAATTTCATAACTTCCTGGAAACCGCGAGACGAATTTATTAAGCCTAATTAATCCATCATTAGTATTTGTGGGTTACTATAGCACTTATGGCTAATTATGGAAAAATTAGGCTCAAAAGATTTGTCTCACGATTTCCATACAAACTGTACAATTAGTTTTTTTAATAATCTATATTTAATCCTCTATGCATGTGTCCAAAGATTTAATGTGATGTTTTTGGAAAAAAAAGGAACTAAGCCGTGGGTCGTGTTTAGTTCAAAATTTTTTCTTCAAACTTCCAACTTTTTCATCACATCAAAACTTTTCTACACACATAAACTTTCAACTTTTCTGTCACATCGTTCCAATTTTAACCAAACTTCTAATTTTAACGTAAACTAAACGAGGCCTAAAATCTAATCACTCCTACGCACAGCAAATCTAATCTGAGATGACCTGAATACGAGTGTGTTTAGTTCACGTTAAAATTAAAAGTTTGGTTGAAATTGGAATGATGTGACGAAAAAGTTAGATGTTTATATGGGTGTGTTTAATTCACGCTAAAATTGGAAGTTTAGTTGAAATTGGAACGATGTGACGGAAAAATTAAAAGTTTATATGTGTAGGAAAGTTTTGATGTGATAGAAAAGTTGAAAGTTCGAAGAAAAACTCGGCCCTGATCTGAAATTAATCCCCGGTCACGTCAGGTCAGGTCACATCGCATCATCAGGGCCATAAGAACCTTGCACTGCAAATTCCACACGCCCATCTCCCCATCGTCCAACCGTGACCGACCGCTTCCAGTGCACACCCGTCCTCGTCTTGGTAGCAGCAGTAGTATCTCTAACAATCATAAGCTTCTCATAAACAATTCAGATTTTCGTTCGAATTTTTAGATGTTTTAGTTATAGAATTTATAAAAAAAAACTCCCTTTGTCTTAAATTATAGCAGCTTTCAACAGATTATAACATATACTATTGTACTACGAATATAAATAGATGTATATACAAGTACGTAGCACTAGATATGTTTAATCCACCAAAAATAGTTTAACTTTAGAATAAAAACTCACGGCTATATTTAAAATGTTTTCTAACTTACGACTACATTTAAAATTAAAATGGAACAGAGGAAATAGATATATGCAGAGTAAACGATACTGTGAGCCCAACATGCAAGTTCCAGTCGTTGTCGATCGCCTGAATTTGGACAGATGAAATAAGATCGATCCTGAAACAACTTGTGGGAACGCACGCACCAGCTAGCAGCAGCATGAGGGTTAAAAAAAATAGTTGAGGCAAAGCAAGCATCAAGTTGCTGTTTGTATAATAATTCTCCTAACAAGTAGTAGCAGCTAGAAGCAGCTACCGGGATAAGGAAGGGCACGGGGAATGGAAAAAAAACGTCCAAAAAAGACCCAAACCGATGGGGTTCTTCTTCAGCGGCCAATTTTTAGTTAGTTCCATGTCATGTGTTGGACCTTGCTAGCGACCTTGGTGTGGCCACCTGCCTCTGCATTCTACTATAATCCCCTATATATACATTTCCTTTTATTCATTCCAATATCGTTTTCTTCTAAAAAAAAACTCAACTTTTAGTCTTAGATTCTCTCTCACGCACAAAATTAATAAAAAGAGTAAGTTTCATAAACCCATGTTTTATGATCAATGTTACGGACAACCATATGTATTATAACATGTGGCATATAACTACATGTTTATGGTCTCATTGTTTCATAAAACCCCATCTTTATTTCAATCTTGATAAATTTCAGCATATTTTTAATAAATTTTTGAAAGTAGTAAAGAATTAAACTATCAACCTTAGTCAAGAACTTAATAATTAAAAATTTTATATGCACTATATGTTTTTGCTCAAAATAAATAAAAGTGGAATTCTGTGAAACTTTAAAATCATAATACCAAAGGTTAGGTGTCACATATCATAATATCTGTGGTTTTATGCAACTTTAACAATAAACATGAGGTATTTTGAACTTTGCTCTTGGTAAATTATCATGCTGTCATAGCTACAATGTTGTCTAATTCCTAACTGAGAATATCTTTCAAGAAAAAAAACATGGATGGAAGTATATCACATAGCTACAAATGCTATGCCATCACAGTTTGTTGGATGCACTCATCCAGTCGGTTTCTATTGGGTCACCAAATCACCAAGAAAATACCCCAAAAAATATCTTAGCCGCATTTCGATGTGTTTTTCTTTATAAGAAATGGAATGGAAAACAGAAAATGCAAGATAAGCATATATATTACAGTATTCCCACTATTTTATTTCTTTTTCTTTAGACAAATATTCGACATCGTGATACTAGTGGTTGCAGTGAGACGTGTGAATCCCATGGGTTTATATTAGTGAGGGTGTCCTTGTCACCTTGTTCATTGTGGATGAGCTCGGATTTGCATGTCTCCATCATGTTTCTCCATCAATAATAACATAATATAATATTACATTATTGCTACGTATTTTCAGCACTACTACTACTACTCCATTATGCTTGATACTTGGGGAATCAGTCACAGCCTCACAGTGTTTATATACACCGGTAGATATTTCGTCTGTGCTGAGTATAGTATGGATGGACACACTGATCTCATCAGCCGAGGATACCGGGAAGTTTTGGGAGTCACTAAAATTTCATGGTTTAGAAATCAAAATTTGGTTATTGCAAAGTTTGACTATTTTCTCTTCAACAAACCATATATGCCCTGAGGCTCCGTTTGAGATAGTTGTTAAATGTATTATTGAATTGATTATAATGATAAGGAGTAAATATGTATAGAAAAACAAATACTCAACAATCTGTATATTATTCAAAACATAGAACAAATAATCTATTCAATAATCCGATGAATGCGAGTTAAAAAGAACATAGTCTTAACTCTCGAGAGATTACATGATATCAGTCTCATATTTTCACTTATGCTTATGCTTATAAGTCAAAATTTAAATTTTCAACCTTATAAATTTGAAGTTGATTTTGGGTTTTTTTTATCGTAATATATTTTCCAGTCTTTGCTTTTAAATCGCTAAGAACACGTATAATTTTATCACAAATTATTCTTTGTTTGCAAATATGCCGCTTGGCATCCGACGCGTGATAATTGATTGGTGCCACGCACACATGTAAGGAGAAGTAGACACGTTGAAAGTGTAACTCGAAAGGCAAGAGTAAACATTAAACTTAAAAGGGGGATGCATGTATGATGATGCTCCAGTGCAGACTTGGAAGCAGTTTGATCGAGTTGATGATGTGGAGGGTCAGTAGTGCAGGCAGCAATCCCCTTGTCTCCATCGACGAACGAACTGGGGCTGAAATGCCCTAATTCGCGAATGCTTTTGCTTTCTTTTGTGGTTGTTATGATCGCCTCTTTTCTCCTATAGTCCTATTGTTGCTGCCATTCGATTCGATTCCATCTCTTCCACTGTCCCAGTTACATTATACTCGGCTGAAATGCCAGAATAACATGCTACCACTGTAATTACTGGTATATGAGTTACACTCTCTTATTATCATATATATTAATGTTTATAATGGTACTTTCTTCGTTTCATATTATAAAATTTTCTAGCACTGTCCACATTTATATCGATTTTTTTAGATAACATCGATTTATATCGATGTTATATACATATCTAGATTTATTAGCATATATATAAATGTGAGTAATGTTAAAAAGTTTTATAATATAAAACGAAGGAAGTGGTGTAATTATGATGAGTTGATGTGAACCGGGTTTGGTCATGGTGAGCAAGTGAGCAACCATGGCAGCTAGCTGCCGGCGCTGCCAATACTCACTTGACACCTGGTTTTCATCCGTTCGGTGTTATGGAATTCGACTGTCTAATCAGCATGGTCAATTCAGGATACTTCATTATAAACACAGAAAAACTAATCTGAGTTGAGTCATGATACTTCATGATCTTGTTCCTACCATGAAACAATATTATGTACTCCCTCTATCCTAATAGGACAATTTTATCATACTTCAGAAAATTCTGACAGTTACCATATTTTTATATAAAATTTAGTATTATTAGATACTTTGAGGTAAATAAATTTTAGTGTAAAATTTAGGTATCTCGAGGTAATTTTTTAAGTACCGTAAAATTTCTCATCCTAGCAACGCACAAGCAGCTTGAGGCATTTTAAATTTGTATTGAAATATAAGTATTTTTAGGTTGTGTTCTTTCTACATTTTTCTAACTACTACTCCTTCGTTTTTCACATGCACACATTCTGAATTACTAAATGGTGTGTGTTTTGAAAAAAAAACTAGTAAAAAGTTGTTGTAGAAAAGCACAATAATTTATTTTTAAGTTTTTTCTTATACCTAATTAATCATGCGCTATGCATTATTAATTGAGTATTTATTATTTTAAACTTGACAATTAATTAATACAGTATAATTTTTTAACCACTTTTCTATATTTTGTAGATAAAATATTTTATTTGTACCATGGAGAACCAATTATTTCTCCTCTCTAATCTCTATCCGCTGCAAAAGATAAGCTATAACTGCTGAAGATGTTGCCGCTACACCGATCGGTCCTTGGGGGAAAAAACAGATTGAGAAGGAAGGAAGGAGATGCCGCGTCCGCGTGTGATGTGATCGTGCGGTTTTCGTTTCAGATGCGGATGCGGTGTTCGATCGATCGCGCGTCATCACTTTGTCTCTGTCGGCTACTCCACCGATCAGGCGTGCCTGCAACTGCATGTCTTCTCATCCAGATTATCCACTCAATTAACGATGATCCAATCTGTGTTCAACTATACTAACTTGCGGAGCCAATAAGCAAAACGGCATATTTACAAACGAAAAAAATTTGTGAGTAAAATTTTTATATACGTGTTCTTAACGATCTAAAAGCAAATGCTTAAAAATAAACTTTAACGAAAATACCTCAAAATCAGCTCCAAATTTAAAGTTGAGATTCTAAATTTTAGCTGATAAGAAAAAGCACAAGCAAGAAGATGAGGCCCTTGGTATGATCGAGCTTAATCATTTCCGAGAGCTATGCTTAACTTTCAACCCCATCGATGAATAAGCAAAACAGCATATTTACAAACGAAAAATAATTTAAAAATAAAACTTTTATATATGTGTTCTCAATGATCGAAAAGCAACGGCTGAAAAATAAACTACGATATAAAAACTCTAAAATTAACTCTAAATTTAGGGTTGAAAATTTAATTTTGGTTAATAAGTATAAGTATAAGTGAAAAGATGTGGCCGAATATCATCCTGCTGTCTGCGAATTCACAACCTGGGTCTCTATAGGCTCTAGCCATCTGTACAAGAAAATCTGGAAAAAAATGTTTGGAATAATCCAACCAAACCTGCCAAATACTACTCCCAGTTTGACAAATTAGTCCAGGTTTCAGACAAACTCGCTCAAGTCTGAATCGCATGTTTACAATTTTGACAAATCTCTCCCAGATCACTGTGCCCATCATCTCTATCCGTACTGGAGTACAAATAAAGGTTCAGAAAAAATGGATAAGCAGGTGACACAAGCTGATTAAAACGAACAGGTGATAGATAAAAGAGTAAACGAGATGCCAAATTGGCTGTCGGGTGAGGAATAGACAGGCCAGGTTAGGCGCCCGGGATATCTTAATCTCCTCCTTATCTTAATTCCTGTTAGAGAGAGAGAGAGACATCGTGTTCGTCCCTGTTTGACCTCAACCTGCCCAACTTGTGTACACTTGCAAATTATTCCCTCTCCTCTCACTCACCTCAAGATGAAAGAGATACTCCCCCATCCCATTTTTTATTTTAAGTGCAGCTATAAATTATAAATTTTAGTGTCCAAGATTTAATCGTTCATATTACTTTTTTTATAGTTAGTATTTTTATTGTTATTAAATGATAAATCATGAATAATATTTTATGTGTGATTTATTTTTTTAAGTCTTTTATAAAATACGGATGGTCAAATGTTATACACGAAAATTCACAACTGTATTTAAAATGGGATTGAGAAAATACAGAAAAAAGAGAGAAATCGAGCCAGAATTTCGCAGCCAATTAGTGGAGAGAGAAGAGAGAAAGAGAGAGAGAGAGAGAGAGGAGAATCTCTAACTGTACTGCTGGTACTTACCCACGAGACAGAGCATCTTGGAATATATCAAGTGAATGCGAAATGTTTTTCTCCTCTCTCTTTTTTCTCTTCTTTCCTTTTTTCTGATCGATGAAGTGAATGCGTATTGCTGTTGGTGCTACAGTGCTATAGGGACAGTTTGTCTCCGTGGTGTGTTTTTGAATGGTGTACATTTGTTCTTTTTAGCAAACGAAGGCATAGCAAAATACGAGCTTTTATCTAACCATCTGATGATCGGATCATCGGAATAGCAGACCGCAATTGCGGTATGTTGATTTTAGAGAAAGTAATGTCTCCATTGTAATGCTTTGTTCAGCCATGGAGAAAATGTTTAAAGCAACGCAACAATCAAAACATAAATTTTCTGAGGAATTCAAATTGTTAGTCTCTTATTGTCTACGACAACAACGACCAAAATTTGAATTTTTAAAATTAAAGTTTAGAGTTGATTACAAGGTTTTCTCATTGCGATTTATTTGCCAGTGTTTTTAGCACAAATATCTCTTTTGTCTTTATTTATTTATTTATTTATTTATTTTCTACAGCTTATGAGTCGTAACTCAACCGATCATAACCATATTACTTACACTATCTTTCATTATTTTCATGATATTTTTATTAGAGCAATAATAAGCATTGGATGCCTGGTTGCATCTGCGAGTGCAAGTTCGTAGTACCGGCAGCAATTCTGATCCAAAGCTGTTTGTGTTTGAATTGAGGCAGGGAGGTGCTACAGTAGAAGTTACTCCCTTCTCACAATTGCGGGTACGTGTCCAATTGTCTGTTTTATTTTTTAAGAAATAAAAAAAGTTAAAAATAGTGATGCATAAATTATTATTCATATTTTACCATCTGGTAATAATAAAAATACTAATCATAATTTTTTATGTAAGATAAATGTAGATACAGAAAGCTACAATTATTCTTAAAATGAGACGGAATGAATAGTACGCGGCAGGGCAGTTCGGCCGGCAGACAGCCGCACACACAAAGTCAAGAACGACATGAAAAATTACACACAGTCTTCATCCCCCAATATGAGGGGACAATTTCCCATGCATATGTGCTATGTCCACCCTTCACCATGCACCCCCAGCGGTATTTTATATCGCCGAATGGGTCGCGGAGTATTTTCTTTTTCTTGTTTTGGTAAACACATGTCGAGTGATTTTCTTATGCGAAATTTCCGCAAAGTTGTCTATAAACATACGTCGGTTTTAACTAAAAAAAAGTGAGTGCTCACAGGCTTGTTCACTAGCATCTGAAATGCTACTACGAACCAAGGCTGAAAACAAGTTGGTGTTTTTCAATCATGTACATTCATGATAAGATCACATGACGTATACTAGTTTAAATTTAAAAATAAAAATAGTTTTGTGTGCCCATCCCAAGTGGACGTAAGAAAATACCCCTCTCTCCTCCGTTGGTGGCTGACAACTTTCTTCCCCTCTTTTCATTTTTTTTCTTTTCCACTCTCCCCCAAGTGAGTTCTACCAACCACGAGTAAGTAAACTCCAAAGCTAGTAGACAGTAAATTTTAAAAAGGCAGGTAAAAAAAGAAAGCACACACACTCTCTCTTAAGCGTCACTTCAGAGGTTTTAACAGCTTGGTTAGAAAAGGATATCCCAAGCCCTAATCACCATGTTAAAGCCATCCCATCCTAAAATTTTTCACCATGTCACATCGATCGTTTGGACGCCTGCATATAGTATTAAATTTAGGCTAAAAGAATAATTAATTACACAGATTAAGACTACTTTACGAGACGAATCTTTTAAGACTAATTGCTCCATGATTTAATAATGTGGTGTTACAGTAAATATTTCCTAATAACGGATTAATCAGGCTTAATAAATTCGTCTCGCTGTTTACTGACGGATTCTGTAATTAATTTTTTTATCAGTGCTCAAACACTCCATGTGATACCCTATATAATAACCGATGTGACACGATAAAATTTTACGACGTGAATCTAAACACCCTAGTTAAGAGAGAGAACAGAGATAAGAAAAAAAGAAGAGAGAAAGTCCAAATAGGAGAGAGTAAATCTAGAAAGTGGGTGTGGTATCTTTCCCAAGATTTTCTTATTCTTCTTCTTCTCCTCCTCTCTCTTCTCCTCTTCTTGCACCTCCTCACCTTCTCCTCTCCTCTCCTCTTCTTCTCCATCACCATCCACCCATCCAACTGGTCCAACTCCTCCAATCGTTTGCTTCTTCTTCTTCCTCTTCTCGCTGTTCTTGGTGGAGGAGGAGATTAGGGTTTGATTAGGGTAGATAGAGAGAGAGGGGTTGGGTTTGGTTGGTGTTTGTGTGGAGATGGACCCCAAATTCCCCCCACCCCCACCGCTAAACAAAACGGAGCCCACCACCACCACCACCAACCAGCAGCATCACCACGATGAGCAGCAGCAGCAGCATCGCCTCCAGATTCAAGTTCATCCTCAGCAGCAGGAGCAGCAGGATGGAGGTGGAGGAGGAGGGAAGGATCAGCAGCAGCAGCAGCAGATGCAGGTGGTGGTTGCGGCGGCGGCGGGGGAGAGGAGGATGCAGGGGCTAGGGCCGAAGCGGAGCTCGAACAAGGACCGCCACACCAAGGTGGACGGGCGGGGGCGGCGGATCCGGATGCCGGCGCTGTGCGCCGCCCGGATCTTCCAGCTCACGCGGGAGCTCGGCCACAAGTCCGACGGCGAGACCGTCCAGTGGCTGCTCCAGCAGGCGGAGCCGGCCATCGTCGCCGCCACGGGGACCGGGACCATCCCGGCGTCCGCGCTCGCCTCCGTCGCCCCCTCCCTCCCTTCCCCCAACTCCGCCCTCTCCAGGTCGCACCACCACCACCACCACATGTGGGCGGCAGCGCCGCCCACGGCGTCCGCCGGGTTCGCCGGTGCAGGGTTCTCCGGCGCCGACTCCGGGGTGATCGGCGGGATCATGCAGCGGATGGGGATCCCCGCCGGGATCGAGCTCCAGGGCGGGGGAGCGGGGGGGTTGGGGGGTGGGGGTGGCGGCGGCGGTGGCCACATCGGGTTCGCGCCCATGTTCGCCAGCCACGCGGCGGCGGCGGCGGCCATGCCGGGGCTAGAGCTAGGGCTCTCGCAGGACGGCCACATCGGCGTGCTCGCCGCGCAGTCGCTCAGCCAGTTCTACCACCAGGTCGGCGCCGCCGGTCAGCTGCAGCACCAGCACCAGCATCACCATCAGCAGCAGCAGCAGCAGCAGGACGGGGAGGACAACCGCGACGACGGCGAGTCCGATGAGGAGTCCGGGCAGTAGTAGCCGCGCCACCTGAATTTGTTCATCCACGCGTCGTCTCTTCGGAGGAGAAAAGAGAATTCTAGGAAGGACATGCAGCTAATGGAGGGGGGAATGGAATGCTTTTGTTACTGTTGGGTTGTTCTTCATGGGGGTTTTTATGTCTGATTTTTTTTCCTCGTGTGGTGTCGAAGCTCGAAAGAGGCTACTACTTTGCTCCGGCGACTTGTTGGGATGGATCATGATCATCTTCAGTTGTTACTCCTGCTGCTCCATGGATGGTTGCCGGTTTATCCCCCTCCAAGTGTTTAGGTGAAAGCTCAATATTTCGCACTCGACAGTCAACACATGACATGATCTTCGAAAGGTTGCTTGATGAGCTTATGTATCTGTGTTTGTGTTCATTTTTGCAGGTGTATAATAGCCGAGAGCTGGATGGACTGGATCATCGCTGTCGAGTGAGTGCTTTATTTGTTATTGCAGGTCGTTGTGTAGATATTCAGGTATTTTTGCAGTTAGAGAGGTCTTCTTTTTTTCCTTTTTACGAGAGTGATGATCCGCTTATGTGCGACAAATACGATGTCCGTCAAACTGATCCTCACCCACGGGCTGTTTCTGCAACGCAAATATGATGCATATACATTTTTAGAGGCCTGATTTTATATGCTTATTCTTTTGTGGTATGTTGTATGATGTCGGTTTCAAGGTTTCTCTTGATTTTCCCTGGCTTGCTTTTAGTTTGTGTAGCATGTTTACTATTTTTGTCAATTTCTTGATTTGGGTGACCTGTCTATTAATAGAACGGAACAGCAGAAACATCAACAATGTGTGCTTGCAGGCATGGTGTCAACGTGTCATGGTGAAAATAAATGTGTAATGTTTCTCTGTAGAGCATGTTTTACACTTTTAGTGCCTCATATACAGCACACAATTATACAGTAGAGCAATGCTTCATGATTGAGAAAAAAATCGCATGATGTGGCGCTGTAAATTCCAAGCATTCCCACGGTGTTTAAGTAAAGTAATATAACTCAAAAGCTTTTCACCTTGTTCGTTGTACGGACTAGTGTCTTCCTGGCTATGAGAAATAGGAATTGAGGCTAGCTCAGTTGGTAGGAGGAGGTGTGGGTGTACACTCCCACCACCCAATTTTTGATCTTCTAACTTCGGTGTATATTAATTTCTTCGTTCTTTAATTTCATACCAAAGTTTGTCTTTGCTTTCCTATAAAATGAAGATGGTATGACCTTTTTGTTCCTGTGCCATTGAAAACTCCAGTAAATATCTCATAGAACTTGAAAAATATCACGAACAATCAACGGGAAGGGCAAGCATGCTTCATAATCATAAGGTGGACCCTTGATGTTCCATAATCCATATCATTGGTTGACACTAACCAAGACCAAACAACCTTTCATGATGAGTTCGGTGTGGAAATGGCCCAACTAGATTGTGCTGGTATTGGCTTTAAGCTTGACTTTGTAACCTGAGCACATATAACACACCATAAGGCTCACCTGTGCTCGGTTTTACCTCGTCTATTTTCTTGTCATATGAAGGTCTCTAGCCACTACTGGTATATCAACAGAAGTTGTGAGGAGATGCCAGTTAAGTGTAGTGTTAGGGAGAACCTTTACCATCTCATCTAATGGAAAGTTGCAATCTTTTCTCTGGTGAGGTAGTAAAAGTGAACAGTTAAATTAAAATCATTTTACAAGTTGGGGAGCAGCATGTTCATTATAGTTCAGTCACAAACAACAAAAAAGTGTTCTCCTGTGTGGGCTAGCATGAGTGTGCCGACAACTGTAGTTATCCCAAATCCCATCTCCATAAATATACTTATATATCTTAAAAAGTGTTCATTTATCACGACTGCAACTGCTGGCTGGCCATCTGCTGCCCAATTGAAAATGTTCTTGTTTGCTGGATAGTACGTAGGTAATGTTCATGCTGCCCAGTTTTGTGTTGTGTTTGCACGGAATCCATTTCATATTTTTAGTACTCCTTACCTGTGTTGTTCGGCACATTCATTGCCGAAATCTCCCATAAATGTGAGAAAGCCATTTGGTACCTGCTGGATCTTGCCAAGATGCCATAAAACCTGAGCTGCACGAGTACTTTGGCATCGTCAGTGCACATGGTCGGCAGTCACAGCTAGTACATCAGCACTGTCCTGCCCTGAAAATGCCACAGGGCCATAAAAAACATATTTCTGTTTCTCTTTTCATGGAGTTATAATTTTTTTTGGCATGTTCATGGAGTGAATTTTCTGGTCCTGATGGTTGCTTGTGAGTTGTGACTTAATGCTACCATCTACTACTACCATTTGGTTGAGAGGACTAGAGGAGGTTAGGATACTACTCCTATTGAGTATTGAGATGCCAGGTAATGGATTTGTAGCTTACTGGATCATGGTAGAGTGTTACAAAAGTTTAGTAAATTTTCTGGAAATTGAACTGATGACTGCTCTATATATTGAGCAAGCTTACTACTGATACTAGAACTAGCATCTAGCATGTGAAGCATTCCCAATAGCTGAATTTGATAATGTTTTTATAACCATGGGCCTGCTGCTTGTCTTCTTCCAATACTTCATAGGTTAAAAAGTTGGGGTTAAAAGTGTGTGGACACTTGTGACAGTGTCGTGCTCAGTGAACAGCAAAAGTTACCTATAAAAAAACAACCTCGTCTCTGAAGATGGAGGTTCTCTTTTCCTTTCACCAACGACGATGCATGCGGTTGCTTGGAGATAGCAACATCTGTTGCTTCTCGAGTGGCAGCTCATTATTTTTTCCCCTTTTCTTTTGATTTTGATTCGCATGGTCACTTTGTCTCTGATGAAGCTTTTGCCTTTTGTCTTGCACTCGCTTTTCACCGCTGCTGTTTGTAAAATTGTTGGATGCGTTTCTCATTCTCAACATCAATTCGGATAGACTTTTGAGATGCCATTGCTTCTTCAATAGAACGAAACGGATGCCAGCAAGAGAAAAACGAAGCATCCGCTCTCACTGGAGGACACGTGAAAATGACGAGTTCGATGGCCAACCAACCTAACATGCTCATCCATGCTAAGACTGTAGTCTGTAGGGCTGAGTGTAGCAGCAGGCAGCAGCAGCAAATGCAAAGGGTGTGTTATTCACGTCAAAATTGAAAGTTTGGTTGAAACTAGAACGATCTGACGGAAAAATTGGAAGTTTATGTGAGTAGTAAAGTTTGATGTGATGAAAAAGTTAGAAGTTTGTTGAAAAATTTTGGATCTAAACTCAGCCTCAGCACATGTCAACCTTCTGAATTTAATCGACTGTAGCCATCCAGGTTGAGTTCACTAGAGATGGTCAAGTACGAGCATGCAAAAAAAAAGAAGTTATTAGTATATGGTTAATTCAGTTTTTGTTATTTTAAACTTGAAAAATGAATTTATATAATAGTTTAAAACAACTTCTGTATGGAACATGTTGTGCGAAATTCTGTATGGAACATGTTGTGCGAAATGTATCGTTTAGCAGTTTAAAATGCGTGCTAATTGAAACTGAGGTAAATCTGCATCTTAATCAAATAGAGCTTGCAACTTAGTTACTTGCTATAATAACCTTTTGATTTTCAAAACATCCCGGTTTTTGTCAATAACTTTTTTGGTAACTACAATACCATCGGAATAGGGATAATCCCTCCTGACGGTAAGGGAAGCCTGAACTACCAAGCAGCCAAATTAATAGAATTTCTTTGGGACATAATTTTTTACTGAAACTAGCTTAATTATCACAAAATTTTCTTCAAGTCCATTTGTTCAAAAGCAGGATTTACTGTTGTTTTTATACACCAGCATCAATTGATGTACGCATGCATCCACCACGCCTAAAATACATAAAATCCAACCGGTGAAAGCCATTCCCCTACAACTTTGACGGCATCAAAATTATTTATATTGCATGAATATTAATTTTAAGGTGGTCTAAATTATTCATACTCACGTTTGATGCGAACATAACCGACCTTTATTCTTCTTCTCTTTTTTTTTTTTGGCTTTGCCAATGTTTTCTGCTCCCAGCAGGTGGTGAGTGGTGAGCATTGGCCATTGAAGGATACCACAGGGGATCTGGTGAGGACATCAATTCACGCAGATGTCGCGCCGCGAGTGACCGGCGACCATTTCGCCAACGGATCATCCACGTCGAGTGGGACCCACCGCAAGTTTTTTTTTTCTAGCTTATCCTTGGTATCGTCTCTTCTCATCTCATTCGATTGGGACACACCATGCACGCCTCAGCCTCACCTCTTTCGGGATGAGAATGAGATGGTTTCGGTCACTGTCTAAACATTAATTTTTTCTAGCTGCCAGTGCTTAAATTGCGTCTTGCGTCCATTTTACTGGAACGACTCTTGTGCTTCTGCAACAGTAAAGTCTCGTCGATGTTTTGTGTTTCTGTGACAGTTTAGTCTCGTGTAGTGAGAACTTGCACCAGAATAAGAAAAGTACTACCTCCGTCCCAAAATAAGTGCAGTTTTACACTATTCACGTTCAACGTTTGACCGTCCGTCTTATTTGAAAAATTTATGAAAAAATTAAAAACATTTAGTCACACATAAAGTACTATTCATGTTTTATCATCTAATAGCAATAAAAATACCAATTATAAAAAATTTTCAAATAAGACGGACGGTCAAACGTTGAACATAAATAGTAGAAAACTGCACTTATTTTGGGACGGAGGGAGTAACAGCGTAGACAGAGATGAAGTTTCGTACAGGTAGGTAACACCCGACGTATGTACTCCCAGAATCTTTGCAACAGACACAGTAGGCAACAAGAGAAGCATGATGTTACCACGATCAGTCGGTTACAACTACTACGACTCATCCGCACCACGGTGAGTCGGTGACGGAGCATTCCATAACTTGGAAGAGAGACCATCGATTAAAAGGACAAAAAGTCCTTCAAAAAAAATAAGAACCCTACAAACATGCTGACCATTTTGCACTGTCCTGTACAATCTCTCCTGTAAAAACCTGAGGGCACCACAGATACACAAGGGGGGAAAGAAAAAGAAAGACAAATCCTCCCTAATTTCATCTTCTGACTAATTCTGTATCCTATGGCTAAAGGAATGAACAAAGGTGGGAGGGAGGGGTGAAAAAGGGGGTGGGAGTCATGATCTTCTCCACAGCAATGTTTACAAAATTTCTGCATCGCTACAAAGAGATGAACATGTACACAACACAAAATGGCGCCTAGAGATGCATGTTAATCATCAAGGCGATGAATCTCACCCATCATGATGCGGTTGCTGTGGACCTTGAAGCCAAGAAGAGACGGGTCAATCTGTTTTCCTTTCTTCGTTTTCTTCTTTGCACCCTTGCCGCCCGGGCCACCATCTGCAGATTCAGAGGCATCATACTGCTGCAATGCCGGCTTCTTCGTGCTCTTCACCATTTCCCTGAAGGACGGACCATCGACGCTTGTTCCTGATGGCGAGATGAAAGAGCCTGCCTCTTTGTTAGTGGAGACAGGGATATCCACAGGTTGGGCTGCCGAGGTGACTCCTCCTGATTCCAACTTATGATCTGCACAACATAATAGTTGCTACATCAAAGCTTGGAAGTTGGAACTCAAGACTGAGAATAGGGTAAATAGCGTATCCCACTGGAACACTACGAAGCACAACAATTTAGGTGCTACATAAGTGCCCTATCAAAAAACATCAATTTTCTGCTGAGTACTACTAGTGCGAAACAAGTCAGTCTAATCTATATATTTCCTTTTAAATATTTTCGGACTTTCTTAACCTGACAAGATAAACAAGCAAGCAGAATTTGCAAAAGGCATA